CAAGGCATGTCCACAACACAGCCACCATTTTTGTGGTTCTTGGTTTTCTGCTGTCTTCTATACACTACAGATTTTGGGCCTGTTGTCCAACCTGATTTCCCTGCCTCCCCTGTCTTGCCACAAGCTGCCAGCGCTGGCTACAATCAGACTGTTTTGAATCAGGGCTTTGTCAGTGGCATCCCTCAAGCTGACAGAAAGCAATAAGTTTTCGCAAACATATAGGGCATTTCACTAGTGCCCACATGCACTCTAGGCCATGCATGCTGATAGAACAATATCCTCCGGGGCCCTTCAAGTGCTCACCGAAACCAAAATCTTGTATACTTGTCTGTGATGTGCAAGCATCAGTACTAACGACAGCTTATCATCAATTAACAGAATAGTTGTGTGAACACCTGCGGACACATTAGGGAACCTCCTGAGGGCAAGGAAGCGAAACCGGGTCCATGCAAATTTGGGTAGAGTATATCCGTCTAGTAAACCTTCGCAGGTGCTCGAGTAGTCCCAGGGTATGTCAACGTACCAGCATACGCTATCATTGGACAAGGAATATCAGAAACTCTCATTAGGTTCATGTAGCTCATGGCAGCTGGCATTTACCGTATACTCACTGTGAAGACCACATGGCACGCATATCTTTCCTGTAGACTCCCTATAGAACCCATACATGACCCCAATAAAACCCCAATGTATATATCCTATAATTCCTATATGACCTATTATAGTAGTTTCCATTTTCTTGTCCATTATCCCTATATGACCCTATATAGCCCTATATAACCCCCATAATCCCTGAGTTTCCATTTTCTTCTCCATTATCCCTATATCCCCATAATACAACCCTGTTTTTAAATCGGACCTCGAAAGCACGCGAGTCGCATTGCCACCCGTCGCGGCAAAGCGCTGGCGTGCCATTTCCCATGGCTGGTCAATTTAGTTTTTAGGGATTGTGGCTTGGGACTTCGGTGGCATTTGGAAGCATAGCTTCAAACTTGCAGTGTTGTGTGGGCGGAGCAGGGGGGGCAGCGGGAATCCACTTTCAGCGCACAAGCCGCAGCTTTCTTCACAGACGTGAGCTCGGAGATTACCTGAGGCTAACACCTTACTTTTGATAATTGCTATGCCTAGGCTACACACAGAATTCGAGTTATATCCTCCCAGTAAGGCATAGAGTACTCGCCTCTGCGGTCTGGTATGAGAGCTCCAGATCTTCCGTAAAAGCTTGTTTCGAAATCTTGCCCAGCAATGTCCGCTTGACCAGCCGAAGCTATTCTGAGAAACGAGCCACGACTTTGCATACTGGCACGCATTGGCCTAATGAAGGGAGGCTCAAACAACAAAAGCGAAAGGGGCTCTTCCCCTGTGAGCCATAACGAGCGGGCGGCCGACGGCGGAGGATGTTGTGTTTTCCACACGATAGTTGAGCAGTCTTTGAACATATGCGGCCCGCTTTGAGCTCAAGATTCCAGGCCTGCACTACCATGTTATGGTGCCACTGACGGTCATGTCCGAAATGTGACCAGTACCGCTGACGTTGTCATCTGCATAACTAGACTCCGTGGCCTGCAAGCAAAGCCTGACATGCATGGGCACTGCAGTGGCAACTTCAGCGTTATCTTCCCTGTGCTCAGTAAACCCGTGCATTACGAAGAGTAAAGTTGCCATCTTGGTCATGAGGGGCTAGTGACTTTCAGGTTATTCTGTACTGCACCAGCCCCTGTTAAGTACCGGCGTCTCGATTCTAAACATGACGTGTTCCCACTGGCAGGATTGCTACCCTTCGCGATGACATTATGGGAGTTACAAGTACATTGATAACCCACTCCTCAATAACGAATGTTCTCAACATTGCCCAGCTCATAATACTATCATTACAAACAAACATGGGAGGGGGGTTGGAGGGTTCATTGTGATTTCGTGGGCATTATGAGAACTCGTGGGCAGAAAAACACAAAGTCTGGAAGATGCCATGAGGCCCTGACCCTAAACTCTAAACCCTAAACTCTATAGTCCCCCTTAAGTAGATAGAATGTGGCTTTGGGTACATTATTATAATATCCCCATATACCCCATATTCTATCTACTTAAGGGGGACTATAAACAAATATAAACCCTAGACTCCAAACTCTAGACCCTAAACCCTGAAACTCTAAACCATCAACCGTGGACCAAGGCTCTTCTGGCTCCAGGCCTGATCCTGTCCCCAGCTCTCCGACCTTGGAGGGTTTGACAGGGATTCCAAAGGCCATACTGTAATACCCTCACACCTAGAATGGACATATGGATGGGGCCCAAAAGTATGGTCTCATTTTGGTACCCCTAAATATTTGTTGCTGTAATACAACCTGTAAAGGACGCCGTTGAGTGGCGAAGAAAATACCCGACCCTCGTTCTGTCACATGGCCAACAGGCAAGAGGGCTCTGCGCTGCAAACTCGTCTGGTGAAACTTCAAAAGACTGCCTTCAGAGCTATAGCTCTGCAACTCTCTTCAGCCCTATGCTTGCTACACAACAGTCAAGCCGCAACATACTCGCCGGTCTCAAGACACATGACAGCATGCGACACGTCCATGTGGCAATGAAGCCTGCGGATCTCGGCGTCTTGCCCATGAAGCCAACCCATTTTGCACCATCTAGTGGCTGTTTGTCACAAGTCGGACGGAAAAGCTTTACAAAACAAGACCAATGCAGTAATTAAGGCTCACGGGCCTGACAGGCGCGATATAGGCATTGAGGCTGCGGCCTCTGATTGTTCCAGTCCTGTCCTGCGCTCATACTGAGGGAGGGGATGGGACTGGCACAAGCAAGGTCTGCTGAAACATGGGGGGTCTCATTCTCAAACTGTGCGAACAAAGCCGCCAAAAAAGCGCAGCAGAGAACACGGCCCTTTGGACCTTGCCTAGACTAACCGAATTTACCATCTACGCGGCCAAAATGGGGACCATGGTTCTTGGCACATAGACCCATAACCCCACTTACAACTTCCTGCGAGCCTCCAAGAAGCACCCTCCTTAGCAAAGCCCTGAGCCCCGGACCCGAACCCCAAACCCTGAACCTCAGACCCCCCCACCTGAACCCTGAACCCTGCGCCCCGAGACCCTTATCCCTTTTGCTAAACCCCGACCCTTAACCAGTAACCCGTCCTTCCCTGCCACCAGCCTGCAATGTTAGTGGTTGACGGGGAATGAAGGTATCCGTTGTGGGCCATCTTCTCAGGGATGATATGGGGGGGGTTTCCCAAAATTAGGGGTACCATTTTGGAGGATTACCATGATAAGGATTATCGTATTTTGGGGTCTGTATTGGGGTCCCCTTATTTTGGGGAACTACCATGTAGTGACCACACTACAGGGATCGTTTTACTGCTCACCACGGATGAGTCCCTGGGTCAAGGATGTGGGGCTGCGAACAATGGTAGTATAGCACTGCACAACCGTTCATACTTTGTTGCGGCACGTAGTAGGGGGACTCGAACTTTGACCAACAAGAGCCACATGACCTTTGCAGACACAGGCGGCCCCAATATAGACCCCAATACACTCCAATCCTTTTCCAGACGACTCCAAAGATGGACCAGGGTTTTGGGAAGAACCATTCAAGCCTGCACCCTCTGCCTGAAGCTTGCATGCCGGACGCCGGCCCCAAACCCAACCAGAATTCCAAACCTACGTCCTACCAAGCCCAATTGCATCATACCCCCTCGCAAACGAGCATGGAGTCCGAAAAGAACACTTTGACGTGCCTGGAGGGCTCCAGCTCTTGTTTAGGAGGCTTGACCCCAAGCCCAGTTACATCCCAAATGCCTGAAAAGTGAACGCAGTCTACAAGGCCCCATATAACGTATATGCTAAGCTAGCTAATATCGCCTGGTCAGCCGAGTTGTTCCAGCTGCCATTGTCTTCCGTTCCTTCTGTTTCAGATCTGGTGAGGTGATTGCTAGAGTGTCTTCCTCCGGACATAAGGGCGGCTGCAAAAGAAAGGCTCCAGTTGCAAGTCCAGGCAACATGGGTCACAGGTCATTACGCACATGGCTGAAGTCTGCGTGAATGAGCGGTCAGAAATGACTTGAAATCTGCCGGCACATTCATGCACACAAAAAGACCACATAAAAATGCCTTGGAGAACACAAGGGGTCAACACGCTGTTCTGAGATTAAGATCGGTCAGATTCAGGCGGGTTGCTCTTGTCGCGCCACTGCCAATCATCCTCCACAAGGAAAGAGGCTGGTGCTGAGTGTGGGGGCAGGGACAGAAACCGCACAAACCTAACGCTGTGCCTGGATACACATTATGAGGCCCGTTGGCCTGTTCTCCTGCTGCTTCTTACCCTGCAAAGACAGCACCAGCCATTCCCAAAGGACCAGTGAACATCTTGGATGCTTGCACCGCACCGATACCGATATGTATGTGCGAGGGTGTTTAGAGGAAAGCACCGTGCATAACTGCTGTAGGCTGCTTCTTAATTGAGCTCATGTCCTCAGTTGAGAAGCGCAGCCAGCTAGCGTTGGTTCTAGCTTCTCTGTGGGTCTTTTGGGCAACTCCAAGAGAGTGCTACATTCCCCCGGTTCAGCCAGTGAAGCGAAATCAGTCAAATGGTTGAGTTTGGAGTCATTGCTGCGGGGCTCCCTGCAAGAAATGGGAGCTTGTAGCACTGGGGTAATGCACATATGTCCCTCGAGCCCTGTGAGCTGTGGCCAAATGGTCGACCTTAGCCAAGCTCATGAGAGCATCCGGGCCTCAAACAAGCTCACCGCTGAGCTACTTGACCAAAGTGTGACGTCAATGTCGTTTAAATCAGCCCTCTATCGTCAACAGAGGGACAGTGCATGGTGAGCCTGCTAAACGGTAGTCCTAGATCCCGAGAACTTTCAATTTGACGCATTTGCTTGCCTGGCGGCCATCTGCCTCTGCGCCAGACGGGCCTGTCATTTGGATGGTATGATTTGCGTGCCTCCGCATCTTGCTTGTGAAGAAGGGAGTCTTAAATGCTGACCAAGGTGCGTCTGTTGCGCGAGCGCGACCTTCGGTCCTCTCGCCCGCCACGGTTGTCGCGACTGTCCCGACGCTCTCGTCGGTCCTTGTCCCGCCGGTCACGTCCGTCATTGCGGTCACGGTCTCGGCCACGGTCTTTGTCCCGGTCCTTTCCGTCCCGATAGTCACGATTGTCCGCGTAGTCTCGTCGATCTCGCTGCTCCCATTCCCGGTCCTCAGAATCAGTCAAAAGTTGTTGCACGAGCAAAGGGTCACCTGCAGGCCAAAACCTCCAAGCAAAACCTCATGACCAAACATCATATGAAATCACCTCCAGCCAAACTTGATGAGTATAAAGGTCAACAACCCAACCCCGCGTCTGGACGGCTCCAGATCCCAACCTTTCACACACCTCAGTGCTCCAGAATCAAACTTTGCAGCTTGGCAACATTTCCGTCTCTTCCTCCCCGCCGGTCGCGGACGTCAGTGCCCATCCGGGGGCTTCCTTGGCGGCAGTCTTTCACTTCATGTCGAGGAGTTTCAGCTACAGACAAGCGTACGCATCAGCGCAACAGTGCATACGACTTCTCTTGTTGCCTCCACTTCCAGATGGCAAAACGTGATGAAATCAAATGAATTGAGCCCGAGACAAAACCCCCTGGACCCAACCCTCCCAATGTTCCTCATTATTATTGCTTTTGAACGGCCACGTTATCGTTTTGCAGGGATTGGAGACTTTGCATGAAGAATCTTATTGCCACGCAGGATTCGAGGAACCTCGAGCAAATGACCTACACTTCTCGCTTTTGGCCATCACCATATTGTCTCCCAAGGTAAGAGCCCAACTTGAAAGCACATTATTCCTCAAATTCTTTCTCGCAGAAAGGAGCCTGGTGAACCAGAGGCTTCTTCACTTCTTTTCCCGTGCGGTTATGGGTCGTTGCGCCATGTGGGGAACCAGCTGTCAACCTCTCCTCTGACTCCCAAAAGACCTGGAAATGTTGCGAAATGTGAGTTCTCAAGACTTGCGACTTCTGCGGAGGAACCCGGAGGCGTTTTCGCAGCCATCTGTTTATGAGTGCATCTCCTCAAATCAAGGGATAGCAGCTTCAGCCCAAGCTTCGTGGTCTTCGTCGTGCATATGGCCGCCGGTAGTCAGACGGGCTCCGGCCTCCATGCAGGCTTGGGGAAGCCGCAAACCGCCCGTTGAGAGCATAAATATGGGACAGAAAGGGAAAAGATCAGCTAGCCTTCGGACAGCAGCCTGAAACATGAGTAGCCGGGTCTTGGAAAACAACACATGTTTCCACAGAACTGTCAATCTGCCACTGGAGGAGATTGTTGCAAAGAAGACCTGTAATTATCTCGGATTTCCAGGCCTTCAGTTTGTGCGGACGTAGGCAAGAGTTCCATTTCACAACCAAGTTGACTGGTTAAGACCCCCAAACTCTGCTGAAGCTTGTGCCGTAAGCCCTCATACAAATGGTGACTACCTGAATTTGCCAAGACTGGAAGCTCAGCCAAGCAGCGTTCAAACGGATGCAACCTAAGCGGGCTCCCCAAGGAGATAATTTTCCAGGTTCGGGTTTGAGTGTGTTCCGGGCAGTATTCTAAGGAGTATTATAAGCAATTCATTTTAGTATAGACTCTCTTTTTTTGTTTTGTAAAAGTGTACTGCAAACAACATAGAGCGTCTCCTTACAAGCGTAGTATAACCAGTGTAGTATCCTATGGCGTTTTGTTGCATTTGGTCGGGGAGCACTTGTAGAGGATTCTCGGCATGATCCCGTTTGTGCAATGGCGCCAGCAGTATGCAGTTCAACTCGTGGGCGATGAGAGACGTCTATTTTCTGCAAAAGTTGCACGTTGTCGAGTGGAAGGGGCAGTGGCAAACGCACGGCCTTTTACAAAAATGAGGGTTGTTCTCCCAGTTAACAGCCCGGAATTCCGCTCCTATAAGCACGAAAACCCACAAACAACAAGGCAAGCACAGCTTTGAGGCACCTTTTCTCGGCAGAGTACATGGTTTCTGAGCGTCTACAGGATCCCCGGGGGCAGATACAGGACTAGGCTCAGAATGGAAAGCCTAAATGGGGATGCTTAACAGAAGAAGCGAGGTCTTAGTCTCAGCAAAAGCAGCATCCCTGATATTGGCAGGGGCATGAACCAGAAGCCCTGGATACCCAAGAACATTGTCAACATCAATCTTGCTCATGGTGACCAACGTAACTGGCAACTTTTTAAATTCGACTGATGCTCCAATGCATTCCTGGCGCTAACACGAAGACCATCCTTGTGGTTATACTTTCTTCTTGCCCTTTGACCCTGGGATCCTCAGTTCTTTAGAGCTTGCCAGTCTTGGACACATCACAGACACTCAGTCATAGCCAACTCATATCATGAACGCTGGGCATTACCACTCGTGGCAGCAGCTAGTATAGTTTCAGTTTCTGCACATCCCCAGGGCACTCTCGCAGCCATGCGGCTTCCGCTCGGCGGCGCTGCCGATGAATTTCTCGGCGGAAGAAGAACTGCTGCCTGAGGTGACGACGCTGCTCGTGCACGGCCTATGTGAGAGCTCACCTGTAGATTAAAAGCTACGGGTGGCTGAGGCATGCTGATGTGGTAGTGGCCTCGGATCGAGGTCTCAGGATTTTGGATGCATTCCCTCTACAACTCCTACAAAATCCATACGGTTCTCCCTACAGAAATCTGGAAGGCAGATAAAATCTTCAAAGCATGCAACCTGCGGAGGCCTGCAAACGAGCATGGCCATGAAAATGCCAGGCTTTCTGCGTGTTTGTTTGGATGTCGGCACTGTTTTGTAAGAAGCCGATAGGGTTTGAGCTGAATGACTAAGACACACCTCGTCTTAGACGTCACGCCCATCCCACAGAAGGTTGCAACGCTCTTGCAACCTCTGAGCAAGGTGCCGCTAAGACTTCCAAGCCCAGAAACTCGAGGAGCTGCTCGAAGAGCTGCTGGAGCTACTCCGCTTGGGGCCTGCAAGCCAGCACCGCTGATGCTGAGGATCCATCATGTTTGTAGGCACGCTCAAAAGCCCAAATTCGGAAAAAAGGAAAAACAAACAACAACTTGGAGTACATGGAACATTCGTACTGGTTCTGCATCACTTTGTCCGTCAAAGGTATTGGCTCCCATTCACAACATGACAACTGTTCTCATTGTGAAAGGTATAATGTACAAATAAAAGTCAGAGTGATGCTATAGCCGCCTCAGGGGTCACGTCAATACTTCGTAGTGACACTGGAATCTCGACGACAACGGGGATATTCGCTATAGGGTTTGGTGGCATACGAAGGAACATCCTCGCTCCCACAGACTATGACTTTGCGTTTAACGTTGCACTTGCCATCGTCATTCTCCAGTTCTAAGTTCTCACCTATGACTCATCACCTCTACGCCGAGCAATCGTCATGCTAGTTGCATCAGGGTGCAGAGACGAGCTAGCTGAATGAGCGCTGCACTTCGAACAAAACTTGATGCCTTGACGACTTACATATTGACATTCCTCCCACGCTAAATCATATCATAGCCTCAGTCGTTACAACAGATCTCTTACACGCGATTCCTCCTGAGCATATTATTTGACATCCTTTTTGCTGACATTGTGCGGCAACTATGTTTCCGATCTCACCAAGTCCAATAAGTCAGCGTATAAGTCCGGACAGAATCGAGCATCAGTTCCAGGATTCTAAACTTCAGGACTTCAGGCTCATGCCCATGCAAAGAACTGCACTGTGAGAAGATGTGCGCATCGTCGTGAGCAGAATCTTTGTCGGATGCCATGCTAGGAAAGGAACCCTAAATCTCTATATATAACCGCAGAATGTATATTATATATATATACATATGTATACACACACGGTATATGCACGTGTATATATGTATATATATGTGTGTGTGTATCTGTGTATATGTATATCTATCTATAAACTATAATCCCTATATAACCCCTGTAGAAACCCTCTGGTTGGCAAATCTCCATCAGCTCCAAGTAAGGCATTGCATTTTGAACACTGATGAAGGTCGTGAGTGCCATGTGTTTACAACGATTTCTAGCCGGAGTTGAAACGGAAACCCTCCCATCCCACATGATCCCTATCAACCTCCCAACAACTCTACGCACTCAGCGCAAGAACCCCTCAGCACCTGACTTAACAAGCCTTACCTTCCATCCCGCCGTTCAACTGGAGAGGTCTACAAACAGGTGCCATTGAGGCCGCGACCAGGCGCACTCGAAGCCTCAGGAATTCTTTGTACCCTTTGCATGGTTCTTTTGAAGCTGAGGCTCCTGACTATTTCTGCATTTTGTGCAATTTTGGGGTGCAAGCTCCTCACTTGCGGGCTTCCCCTTCATATCTTCCAACCAAGATTACTAGATTTTGACACACATTCCCCCTGTAGAAGCCCATACAACTTGTATGCCTTCACTGGGTCGTCTGAAGTAGTGCACCACAAGGTTCCCGGGTTGGGTGGTCTCAAAATCATGAGGTTCTTCAGGGGGCTGTGTTAAAGACCTTTTTTTTTCGGGTTCTTTCAGGGGGATCAAACCCCACAGGTCGGAGCTGAAGTTTGAGCATCCAGACTTGGATCCGCAAGCACATGTTCGGGCGCGGGGTTTAGGTGTTTCCTGCTAAGGATACACTGAACGTACTTGGCGGGGACAGGAGTGGAGATCTAAATCGAAGCCCCATCTGCACCATCCAGAAAACAACCCACGTTTTGAAGGAAGTAACTATGTAATGCAGAATCCTTGGATAAGCGGTAAATCTTCCTTGCACACTCAACAAGGATCCTCTAGCCCAAGCCCTGACACCCTTAACCCGTACCCTGCAGCCCAAGCCCCTTTTTGCGTGGGAAGTCCAAAAAACATGGGCCCGTATTCCGACACTTTGTGTTTTGCAGCGGGTTTGCACAAGATCTCGCCCGGAATCCTGGAACTACAAGCCCTCTTACATCCAGCTTGCAGGGCATCTCCTGGAAACTCTGAGACAAACTTCTCTAAGCTGATTGATGACCAGATGACCAAAGCTAAAATCCGAATCCCCAACGCCAACACCCTGAAACCCTACACCCACAACCCCCGTTACACCCTCAACCCCTTGTAGGGCTCCCGCCGCTGCGGGCGCTGCAGGTGCAGGCTTCGGTGCCGGCGCGGGCGGGGCCTTTGCGGCCGCCTTGGCCTTGGCCTTGGCCTTGCAAAATGAAACAGGAGTACCATTCAAAGGCTTCGTAATACCCTTAAGGAATACAGGGGTATGCTTCAAACAGTGGAGATTTCATTCAGAAAGAACATTCGTAGGAATACCCCTCTACGGGTTTGGTAGTCCAGGGTTAGCCTTGCAAGGCTTCACATCTAGTCAACATTGCGGTATTCAGGCTTTTGAAGCGGAGTAGGGGTAAGGGCCTCGGTTTAAGGCATTCTTTCACAACTTGGGTGTTTATCAACTACGATTTTAGCACCCGCTCA